TTGAACTCAGGACCTCTGGAAGAGCAGTCTGTGATCTTAACCTCTGAGCCATCTCTCCAGCCCCAAGTTATGTTATTTTTAATTGTGTGTGTGTGTGTGTGTGTGTGTGTGTGTGTGTGTTTGTGTGTGTGTGTGTGTGTAGAGAAGTGTTTACACAAGGGAAATGCACACAACTTGTGTGGATTGCTCTGGAAGCTCTGAAGATTGACACATCTGTATAGTCCAATCTCAACCAAAATATAGAACATTATCCGCATTCTAGAAATTTCTTTCATGCCACTTGCTAAGGGAGGCCAAAAGAGGTCACCAGATCCCTTAGAGTGGGAGGTCCAGGCAGTTTAGACCTGCCTGGTGTGGGCAGTTATTGAAGCTGTCAAGGTCCTGCCTTAAAAGTCTTCGCTCAGGGTTCAAAAAGAGATGCTACAATAAGCATAGGATCTAAGTCTGAGGGCTACAGAAGAGAATCTTCTCACAACACGTTCTTTATTGTTACATGTGCTCTTTATTGTTCTCTCTTTACTGTTCTCTGTTCTAATTCTTTTGTCCTGGTTGTCCATAGCTTCTTAGCTCTGATTCTCTGTCGCAAATTTAATTCTAATTCCTTTTACATTTCTGCTAATTTCTACCAATTTCTCCCTCCAACTACAACCTCTCCAGTCTCCTCTCTCCAAATCTCTCTTCCCCCAGAGGCTTGAAGCAAAAGATAAGAGTTACAGAGTTAGGGGTGGGAGAGAAGAGCATTGCCTGCTCTTCAAAAGGTCCTGAGTTCAATTCCAAGCAACCACATGGTGGCTCACAACCATCTGTAACGAGATTTGGTGCCGAACACTATACACATAATAAATAAATAAATCTTTTTTTTTTAAAAAAGAGTTACAGAGTTAGCTTTTTCATTGGTCAGAAGCACATTGCTAGGCTAAGCAATAAAGTCAGAGCCATTGTCATGGCAACATAAGGGTCCAAGGTTACAGCAGTGAAACTGTGGCCACAGGTGGGGGTACAATGAGATAGGCTTTGAGACATAGATCTCTAGTTAACAGACTGGCAAGCAAAGAATAGACGTGTTTTAAAGTTAATGAGAAGTCAACTTGGGACAGCACTTTCCTATCTGCTGGCAGAGAGAATCCAGGACACTCTTGTTCTCTATGTCTCTTAGAGCTATGGCTCAACAACCTTAGACATGCCATAAGTCTTATCCTTGGGCATCTGTGAATGTCTCCGTTGAGTTCTCTTTGCCTAGACACTCACACTGACCAACTGTCTGCCAAGGAAGATAATTGCAGGGGGGGGCAGACTTCTAAGTTTATACAAAGACCTGGTTGAGAGAGTAAGGGTATTGACTGATTACTTTCTTGCCAGAATCACACATTTCTGAGAGAAGTCATCCAATATACCAACGCATAGGAGAAATTGTGTCCAGTAAACAATTAACACACTGTAGTGCTGTGGGGAAAATCCCCAAGATGTAATGTGAGGTAAAGAGCTCTTCACACAAGAAAGCTGCAATGAGGGGCTGGAGAGATGGCTCAGGGGTTAAGAGCACTGACTGTTCTTCCAGAGGTTCTTAGTTCAATTCCCAGCAACCACATGGTGGCTCACAACCGTCTGTAATGAGATCTGGTTCCCTCTTCTGGCACACACTGTATACATGATAAATAAATAAATCTTAAAAAGAGAGAGAGAGAGAGAGAGAGAAATCTGCAATGAGCACAGCTAATACATTCAGAAGGCAAGATTCCTTATCGAGTTGCAGATGTTAATCAAATGTGCATCTCTGGTGACAATATTCCTCATCACCTTTGAGGTCTTATCCTTCAAGAGATATGTATCTCTGATGGATTGACTCCTTAAGTACTGAACTCTACTGCATAATTCTGAGGTAGGTAGCAGGCAATGGGAACCAAACTCAGATCCTCTGTGAGAACGATAAGAACTCTTAACTCCTGAGCCATTTCTCCTCCCAGGGCCATCCTTTTCTATTCTATGGAGAATGTTGGAGCTGGAGAGGTGGCTCAGTGGTTAAGAGCACTAGCTGAGGACCTGGGTTCAATTCTCAGCACCTACACAACAGCTCACACCTGTTTATAACTCCATTACCAAAGAGACCTGACACCCTCACACAGACATACATGCAGTCAAAACACCGGTGTGCATAAAATCTTAATTAATTGATTTAAAAAGAATATTGTTGGTATTTTGGTAGAAAATTGAATTGGATCTGTAAATATAGATATTTTAACAAATTAATTCTTCTATTCCATGGATATGTGATGTCTTTTCATTCTGGGAGTTTCTCTTCAACACTTTTAACTAATTTTTTTTCTTTTTTTTTTTTTTTCTTTTTTTGGTTTTTAGAGTCAGGGTTTCTTTGTGGCTTTTGAGGCTGGTCCTGGACTAGCTCTTGTTGAAAAGGATACAAAGATGCACCTGCCTCTGCCTCCCAAGTGTTGGGATTAAAGGCGTGCGCCACCACCACCCAGCTAACTACTATTTTCTAACTTTCATCATAGAGGTTGTTCAGTTCTCTGTGTAGCCATGGCTGTCCTGGAACTTGTTCTGTAGAGTAGGCTAGCCTTGAACTCAGAGGTCCACCTGCCTCTGACTCTGGAGTGCTGGGGTTAAAGGCGTGTACCACCATGTCTGCTTTATTTACTATTATTATTTTGCTAGATTTTTCTCTAATTATTTTTTTTAGACTTTTGTTTGGTTTTTGTTTTTCAAGACAGGGTTTCTCTGCAGCTTTGGAGGCTGTCCTGGAACTAGCTCTTGTAGACCAGGCTGGTCTCAAACTCACAGAGATCCGCCTGCCTCTGCCTTCGGAGTGCTGGGATTCAAGGGTTGTGCCACCACCAACCGGCTTTTTTGTAGATTTGTAAATGTGATTGATTTCCTTCTGAAAAAGTTTCAGTGTTTTAAAAAACCTGGTTTGCTTTTGTTTTTCTGCAGGGGAGTAAATTTAAGCTCTTGTTTGTTTTTATAGTTTGCTTGTTTTTGTTTGTTTGTTTGGTTTTTCTAGACAGGGTTTCTCGGTGTAGCCCTGGCTGTACTGGAACTCACTCTATAGATCTGTAATTCAGAGATCCATCTGCCTCTGCCACCACGGTCTTACACATAATAGACAAGCATTCTATCACTGAGCTGTGATTGCAGCCTTCTTTTAGTCTTTCATGTCTTCATGTGTGTGCATGTATGTGTGTCAGTGTGCATGTGTGTGTGTCAGTGTGCACGTGTGTGTTGGTGTACACGCACCATGTGTGGAGAGGGCTGATGTCAAGTGTCTTCCTCATTCTTGTTCCATCTTTGTGCTTATTGTTTTATTTTAATTTATTTATTTTTATTTTATGTGTATTGGTGTTTTGTCTGTGTGTATGCTTGTATGAGGGTGTCAGATCTTGGTGTTACAGGCAGTGGTGAGCTGCCATCTGGTTGCTGGGAATTGAACCCCAGTCCTATGGAAGAGCAGTCAGTGCTCTTAACCTCTGAGCCAGCTCTCCAAGCCTTTTTTTTTTTTTTTTTTTTTTTTTTTTTTTTTTTTTTTTTTTCTTTGTAGACAGGGCTGCCTCTGTTTCCCAGGTGTTAAGATTAAAGGTGTGAGCCAGCACTGCTTGATCTTCCTCCCTGCCTTCCTCTCTCTCTTCCTTCCCTTCTTTCTTTTCTGTACTCTTTTTTTTTACCCCCTTTTAGAACTGTAGAGTCATAAGCTGGGGGTGGGGTGGGGGTGGGAACCAGGCAAGAATGGAAATGAAAGGTGTGTTTTTTCTGAGGACAAAGTCCCCATGGACAGGAATGTCCCCTGGGAATAGGACATGGTGGGGGGATAAAGTAGGCATGGAATCTAAGTGAATTGGGGCCACAAAACGTAGGGAGCACAAGGGCACAGTGTGGTACGGTAGACAAGGTATCCATCGATGGTGGGCTGTGTGAGCATCCAATACTCAGGGTTGTGAGTAGATGTATGGATTGGGGTACAGATAATGGGGTGGTTTGAGGTATTGGGGTACCGTGGACTCATGTTGAGGATGACACCTGATTGAGTGGAAGGGCTGGAGGGCCCAGT